TTCTCCTTTTTCTTCTCCTTATTAAGGGAAAATAAATACCCTTAATTAAAGAAAAGGTATATTATTAATTAATTAATTAATTAATTAATTAATTAAATAATTAATTAAATATACCTATAAAGGAGGAATTCTTGATGATAATAGATAATATATATATATAAATTAATTATTTATTTAATTAATTATTTATTTATTTATTAATATAATAATAAATATAAACAGCAAAAGCCATTAATAATTATATATAAATATATTAATAACCTAAAAGGGTATAATAAATAAACTAATTATATTTATTTATTTATTTATTTATATTTATTTATATTTATTTATTTATTTATATTTATCTATTTATCTTTATTATACCCCTAATCTCTTACTATTCATCTACTCTGCACGACCACGAGGGGCCCCTCTGGGGGCCCCCCTGTACCCTCCTCTGTATCCTCCTCTAAATCCTCCTCTTCCCCTGCATATATACACATAAACAAATAAAAATATATATTAATGTATGCATGCATGCATGCATGCATAATATAATAATAATTATTATTTATTTATATAATATAATGCATGCATGCATGCATGCACAGTGGTGAACTAATTAATTAATTAATTAATTATATTTATTTATTTATTTATTTATTTATTTTATTTATTTATTTATATTTATTTATTTATTTATTTACCTTCCTCTAGGTTTATAAGTATTATGATGATCATTATTGTGTGTATCTACACCTCCATCATGAATATTATTATTATTTATATTATTATTATTATTAATTTCTTCTTCTTCTTCTCCTCCTCCTTGTCCTCCTTGTCCTCCTCCTCCTCCTTGTCCTCCTCCTCCTCCTTGTCCTCCTCCTCCTTGTCCTCCTCCTCTCCCTCCTCCTACTGTACGCGGACTCCCTCTATTACGTAATCCACCACGGTATCCACCACGACCTCTTCCTTGACCTGCAGCAGCAGCAGCAGCAGCAGCAGCAGCAGCAGCAGCAGCAGCAGCAGCAGCAGCAACAGCAGCAGATATGTGGGGTCAATATACAATAATAAATAGACAATTAAATAAGCTAAACAAACAAACAACAAAGAACAACAACAAACAACAACAAAAAACAAACAACAAGCAGCAAACAGGAGCAGCAACAAGAGCAACAAGAGCAGCAGCAACAGCAGCAAGAGCAGCAGCAGGAAATAATTACCTGCATTATTATTATTATTAGCTTGTGCTGCAGTAGCTTGTTTATATTCTTGTATAGTAGCATCATCAAGAGGAGGTTGGTATCCATAATGATTAATATAATTATTATTATTAATATTATTATTATTATTAATATTATTATTATTATTATTATTATTATTATTATTATTATTATTATTATTATTAATATTATTAATAAAGGGTAAAAAAGATAATTTAATCTCTAAGAATGCAACTATCCTCTCCTGAGTAACTATATCTAATCCTTCCTCTATAGGCTCATAAATAAGAGAGAGAGTTGTATTACCTATTATATTTAATTGATGTAATCCTTTATATCTTCTTTTTAATTGTTCAGCTAAAGAAATTGCTTGTCCTATTGCATTACCTGATGCTTTTATTGTTATTTTATCCATCTTATTCTCCTCTATTAATGTGCATGCATAAGATATATAATTGGCTACCCTACCGCTAGTAGTAACACGTATTTCATCATTACCTAATGGTTCCCTAACAGGGCGAACTTTTCTATACTTCTCCATCTTTTTTTTTTCTTTTTTTTTTTTTCTTTATATATTTTTTATTTATTTATTTATTTATTATACTATATTATTCTATTTATTTTTCTCTATTATTTAATATATTTATCCTTATTTTTTATCCTTTTTCTCCTATTTTTTTATACTAGACTTTCTCTCTTGTCACCTCCTTCTTTCTTTCCTTATAAGGTGTATATATATATATATATATATTATATACACCTTAATTAAGAGGGGAAGAAGAAGAAGAAAAAAAAAGAAGAAAATATATTATTATTTATTTTATTTATTATTTATATTCTTATTTATAATATATATGTATAGAGACGGATCTGTTGCTGTTATTCTTGTTGCAAACAACAATCAACTTTCCTCCCTATATATATATTTATAAATATAGATATATAGATATATATATATAGATATATATAGATATATATATTTATTATGATGAATCCTGCTGCTGCTGCTGCTGCTGCTGCTGCTGCTGCTGTTGCTGCTGCTGCTGCTGCAGAAGAAAATTAAAATGCTTTAATAGCACTTTAAGACATAAAGAGAAAAGAATAAATAAATGAAGCAACAAAACAACAACAACTGTTGCTGCTGCTGCTGCTGCTGCTGCTGCTGTTGTTGTTGTTGTTGCTGCTGCTGCTGTTGCGATATATATATATGTATAAGGATTTATATATGTCTGTCGGTTGTTGTTGTTGCTGCAGCTACACAGTTGCTGCTGCTGCTGCTGCTGCTGCTTATTATTCACAAAAAGCAAACTAATGCAGCAACAGGCACTCTTTCTTCTCCTAAATGCGCCCTTCTTATCCTACGACTACACCCGCGAAGCCCCTACAGCCCACACACCAAGAGGGGCGCAGCAGCAGCAGCAGCAGCAGCAGCAGCAGCAGCAGCTGGTGCTGCTGCATGCTGATGATGATGTTGATGGTGTTTATCTTTGTTTTTTAATGATATTCTTTCTCATCTATTGTTATAAATATTATTTTATTTTATTATTTTTTATTTTATTTTTATTTATATATATATATTATTGTTTATTTATATATATATGTATATATATGCATACTGCATACACACCGCTCCCTTGCTGCTGCTGTCTATACACCACCCCAGCAGCAGCAGCTCCTTGCTGCATGCCCCTCCTTGCTGTTGCTGTTGCTGTTGCTGTTGCTGCCCCTCACAAAAAGCAGCAACAATATTCAATAATATATACAATAATTGCTTTTTATTTAAATTAATTATTATTTATTATTTATATTTAATATTATACCCTTTGCATGCATTCATAGCAACAATTACCCCCTCTTCCCCTATAAACACCGACTCCCCACCCCCTCTAGCTCAGCTGTACATACACCTGAATAATAAAATAAAAAAAATACACCCGCAGACAACTTGTTAACATAACCTATTGATGCATGCATGCATTACCCTTCTATAGCTCCTTATAGGATCTGCAGATACACCACAAAATAACATTTTGTACATGAGTGTGGGGCTCCTCTCCTGCTGCTTTGCCGCTGCAGCAGGAGAGAGATAAAGTCTTAATAGATAATTTCCTTTCTCCTAGCTAAAGTTGATTCTGCTGCTGCGCCTCTGATGAATGAGGAGGAGAGAGGGAAGCAAAACTCCGATCCAAGGAATAGTAGTTCCCTTATGTACGTAGTACCTTATAGTAAACATTGGATAACATTGAGGATCCATCAGTGTATGCGAGGTGTATGTACACCTCGTATCATAACATTCCTTATACTTTATGGAGAATATGTGTGTTACTCATTAGACATTGAAGGGAGGGGTTTGTGTGTTACTTGTGTATTATGTATAGATCTCTAAGGGTGAATAGATGAGGTATTGTAGGTATGAGAGGAAGCGGATAGGATTTAGGGTTTAGGGTTTAGGAGAGTATATGTGTGTTATAGGAGTTCTATAAATATATGTGTGTTTCTGTATCAGTATAGTATGTATATATAAGGGTGACTAGATGAGGTATAATAGGTAAGGGTGGAGGTGAATTGACTAAATAAATAAAGAAAGAAGGAAGAGTATGAGTGTATTATGTTAGTTGTATAAATAAATAAGCATAATAGAAAAGGCCGTCATCACCCAAAGGGATTCCCGGGGAGTCCCCCACCCCAGTACTAACCGGGCCTTGCGCCGCTTAACTTCGGAGTTCAGATGGGATCCGGTGCATTAGACGCAGTATGAACGACGGCGAGGGGAGGAGCATCACAACAACAGTTAACCATATATAAACACACAATCTTAACCACACTTATTCATATAAACAAATGACTCTATGGCTAATTTATTACCATGATAGAGTAATTTAATGTTGGGCAAATCGTAGGCATGCCATGGGTGGCTCAGTGGAAGATCTGCATGCCTCCTCCTTGTGACACCTGGTGAGGTGTACTTGCAAGGAGAAAGCTATGTAAATGGGCGTCTGCGTCCTCTACGGTTAGGAGAGTGGAGGCAGTGTCCCAAGGAGAAAGAAGCGAGGAGGCTCATTTGCACTGCAGACCCGCTGCGTGGGGATGACGGAGATATGCATACACTCCATCATGTTAATCTGACGAAGATCGTAGTATTGGGAACTTCGTTTATCTAAATAAAACCCGAGGGGCAGAAGAAATACACATAATAGAAGAAAGAGTTCTTAGGTGTATTCAATACGTGATTGTTTAGAGGGTTCTGCAGTATACTCAGCAGTTGACTTCGCCTTGTGTATACCTCAATACATCATTCATGTAAATGTACAGAAGCGTTTATTTATTAATGAAAGTATTTAACTTCCTAAGTTGTCATATATCTGCCGGTGCGGTCTAACAACACCTGACGAAGAAAAAGGCAACATGTTGGTAACCTCTACCCCTATACACCCTCACAAACATCCAGAAGTTCCTCGATATAGCATTAATGTAGCAAACTGCACTCCTTGATTTGCCCTCATGTCCACCCCTTTCTCAGATATACCTCCTGAATTAGTTAAGCGTTTCTTACTTACAACTAGTGCCACTGGCACAGCAGTTTCGATGATTGTCCTTCAGCACGGCAGCCATTTTATTTAACAGCACCAAATATGTTGCGCGCTTCTCACATAACTTCATAAAGAGAGAGAGAGAGCAGCAAAAGTATGCCTATATCGTAATGCATTGACTTAGATATATTTTAAATAAAGATTGTTAACAGTCGCCATGTCCTAGCCGATGCTTGCCTCCCTCAAAGGTATGGCTATCGAGCCCTTTAGAATATTCCTCATATGCTTGCCAGCGGGGAAGAGGGGGGGCAAGAGGGAAAGTGCTGCTGGTTATTTCACCACCACTGTTGTTGCATTTTCGTTGTTCCTTTGAAGTCAGTGATGTTGTTGCTGGTAGTCCAGCTGTTTGGGCTAAGGGCCTTTACTACTTATACATTTGTATTAACAAACAGCCAACACATAAGGCGAGCAAGAAGGGGGGCCACTGATTGATGTTGATTTAGTAACCCCCCATAGGGCACGAATAGTTGTAGTGTCAATGCCTGAGGTCTGCAAATATATTAAGTTAAAGTAAATAAAGGAAGGTGTATTCTTAAGAACAGCAAAAGACAAACCGCGAAAGAAATTCTGTACTCCCCCCAAGAATCCTTTTTTCCTTTTTTTCATGACCTGCATTAAAATGGCATTTTATTGTTGTTGTTTGCCATCCATTTATATATTTAAAAACAATTTTAATTTTTTGGCGTCTTACGTATTTCATTTCTTCTTCGTCTGCCCTGTAGAAGGACTCCTTTGCTGCAGCTTCTTCTTCTTGCTGCAGTTGTTGCGCGGCAGCAATTCATATAGAAGCAGCAGCACAAACAAACAGATAACTTGCCTTTGTGAGAACTTTTATCCTCTCCACCTGTAAACAATGGAGATAATAACGATCGAAATTGTAATAATAATTGTTAATAGAAGGGGAGGAGGGATATTATCTTCATAAGGAGAGCCTTATTGAGTTGCATGCAGCCCCACAGGATTGTCGAGGGCAGCGTCTTGACCCTTCAGGAGTTTCATAGCTGCAAAATGAATCATTTATTGTTAATAAGAGCAATGAATATATAAGACATGAAGGGGAGACAGAGAGGTTATTGTACATAATATTACATTGCATATTGAGTATTATATGGTATAATTGAATATAAATAATATATATATAATAAGTGGTGTAAGAGAAGGAGAGAAAAGAAAGGAAAATAAGCAATGCTCACCGTCACTTCCCATCTGTTGTGACTCGACGAGCATCTTTTCGTACAACTTGTTGAAGCTCATCATCGGCTTTATCCCGCGTTGTTTTGTTTCATTTTTTTTATTATTTTTGTACTTTTAATTAAATAAATTAAAATAAATTGAACAAACTTTTGGCGATATTATTATAAGGGGCGTTTTTCGAGGAGGAGCGCCAGAAATAAACCCTGGTACAGCACCGGCTGTTTCCGCCTCGGCAGGACCTCCGCCGACTCCAGGGTACTCTGAGGGAAGAAATAAGGCACATTTTATTGTGTTATTCAATGTAATTTAATTTATTAGGTTTTATGCGAGAAAAAAACATAAAAGATGAGGAAAAAGGAAAGAAAACTGACGAATATCCAGTTTGATTCCATTGACGCCTCCTGTTGGCATCGACAGCTGCGCGGTGTCAATGATTGATTGACCTCCGCCCCCTCGTGAATGTACGTGTTGTTTAAGTCTATAGACATAGAAACAACGGAAATAAAATATTAATTATTTTATTTTTACGGATATTTCAATGAATATATCCCCGATATACACCATTATTACGCACTGGGCAATCTGTTGTTGCAGTTCGTTAAGTTGAGCGTTTTGCTGGGCTATAGTTTCCTCAAGTCCAATGTCGGATGCTTTTGAAGAAACGTAAAAGTTTGTATTACAATTAAAAATTAAAGCCTTTTATTATAGAAAAGAGGGAAAAAAATACTCACCTCCTTCAATTGGGGAAGAACAGGAA